AAAAAAAAAAACCAAAACACCACCACCAAAGCTATAGATTCTGACAGTAATCAATATACTGACATTTTGGTGCTTTTAATTAAAAAAGAATTATATCCACTATCATAAAAATCACATTACTTGCAAAGTTAGATTCATATTAAGTGAAAGAGGCAGCTGTTACAAAGCTTTCATCTGCAGGATTCTTAAGATTACCTTATTTCTACACTAAAACTATCTCAGATTTAAGCAAAAGGCAAAAGAGTCACTGTGGAAACAATATAATTGATTGTTAAATTGATCTCTCACAGGGATTAGATAGGGATTAGAAACCTTCCAAACCATCCCAGAACAACTGTAAATTAGGAGTTCCTGGGAGTATATAGCATTATAAAATAATAGCTATTTGTGGGGATTTTTTAGGTGCACTTGATCTGAAAATCCCTCATATTGGATTTCAGAAGGGGAAAATGAAAAATGGGAAGGAAAGAAGATTGAGAATGAATGTGTAAACACAAACCCTTTTTGTAATCTTTTAAACCTGTTCAAAAAATTGAGGATGTAATTTTTGCAAACTTTTCAAATTTACTTTTTTAAAAGGTGATCTTGTTAAGTGGATAAAGTTTTACCTTTGTTGTTCCATTCCCCCAGTATTAGTTTGTATGCATTACCTTTCACATTACTTCTTCTGTGTGCCCATTAAGAGGGAGAAAGGTGGAGGTGCGGAGTGAAGAGCAACAATCAATGTTCATCACAACTGGCCTTTAACTCCAAAGGTTCAGAGTTAATGTTGAATTGTGTATGTGTGTGCGTGTGTGTGAGCGCGCGGGTGGTGGGGGCGGGGAAGGGGGGAAGAGGAATCCCTGTTCCCTCCACTAGCACACGGCATAAAAAACTGAACAGGCAAGTTTCCCTGGCTCTTGTCTTACTGCCATCAACAAATGTTTACTGAATGTCTCAAGATCACAATGTTAGAGCCAGAAGCATCTTAGCAATCATCTAGTATTCCCACACCCCCAACCCCCATTTTACAGATAAGGAAACTGAGATGGGGAAGTGATTTGTCTCATGCCATGCTGCTAGTAAGTTGTGGTAGAGAACCTCAAAGACCCAAACTCAGGTTTCACGACTTTAAAGCCACCAACCTGCCTCCCACATCTGGAAGGCTAGGCGCTGTTGAGGACATAGAGATCATCCTTGCTCTAGCCTCTCGCCTGCCCAGTTACCTCCCCAGTCCCTCACCTTCATGGTGGAAGCTTCTGACAGTATTAGCCCGGCTGGTTGCTCTCTCCAGCTGGTAGTCCATGGTGGGATCCCCAAGCTGACCCGAATGCAGGCGGTAGAGATCTAGCATGTAGGGGGGGATGATCGCATTTTTGCTGGGGCTCGGTCTCTGCTTCAGCCCGAACATACTGAGCAGCCGCAGCTCAAACCCGCTCAAGATTTCTTCCGACTGCTGCGGCGTGGAACGGCTGGATTCAGCGAACTTCCTCCGGCCCACCTCCGGGATGAGGCCGGCCGAACTATCCAGCAAGACTTGGTAAAGCAGCAGCGCTAGAAGAGAGCGGATCCCGGCAACCATGGTCAACCTGCAGAGAGGGTTTGGGGAGTGGGGTAGGGTGGGGTGGGGGAAAGGATAGGAGCGGACAGCAGAAAAGCAAGGATGGAGGTGAGTCCCGGAGTTCCGTGACAGATGCACCGCGCCGGCGGGCCGGGACCCTCGCCGGCGGCACGCTTGTCCCAGGCGTGCCAGGTTGCCCAGCAAGTCCGCATCTGGCCCCAGCCACGGCCCGCGCCACCGTTCCGGGGAGGTTGCCGCGGCGGCCGTCTCCCCAAGATCTCCGGGCTCCGGAGAAGGCTCCCGCCACCTACCCCCGCCTCTAGGGGGCAGGGGCGCCATGACCGCAATGGGGAGTGGGCGCTAGCTGGGGCTGCCATCCCTGGCCGCGCCCCGCCCACTCTCTAGATTACCACCACCACCTTCCCTCCCCCCGCCCCCCACCTTTCAACAATCTCCCGGAAACTCCAGCGGTTGCTGAGACCTCAACTTAGACTTTAAAACCGTCTGCGAGGGAGCAGACGGAATTTGGGGGATTCGGGGAGGGGACATCGGTGCTTTAGGTAGAAGGGTTTCCCAGTCCCTCCGCACGCCAAACTAGGGCATCTGAGGTGTGGAGATAGCCATTCCGTAAATGTATAGGCTCCATTTCCCCTGGCTCATGTTAACAACACAAGGTACACATCTCAGCGATACAAAACCACATAGCACGAAACTTTTAGAAACATTACACCAGCCACGCATAATTTCTTAACACATCCATATTAACATAAACACACTGCATATCGCTTTGCATTATAAAACACACACAATGCGTATGACTTCCTGATACGCACACACCGTATTTTACTTCCAGGCATGCTACATTCACAATATATGACTTCCGAACATACGTGATTCAGGGCACAACCACTTCCATAGACACACATGTATACATATACACACATAGATACATACATATATATACACTTGCGTGTATATACATATACTTTAGAGGCATATTGTAATACTTCCTTTTATACACACATAACACAGACCTTCAACGAGGAAAAAGTATAGTATATACACAAACACGTTTGGAGGATTATACAAACGTCTACATAGGGGGGGGGGGAGGTCGGGTCTGTATTATTTCAGATGTCAGAGTAGTGAGAGAAAAGGAAAAAAAGGAACAAAAAAGGAGAGGGAACTAAATTCTTTGTCCTTCTGATAATTGGAAACTACAAGATCTTCCCCTCTCTTCCCAAAATAAGGAGCAGGAAGGGGCCAACACGAAGGGAGGTGGAGGAAAGTTCTCAAGAAAGATGTGTAATAGGGAGACGGGGTACCTGGTTGGAAATGGAAAAGGGCTCTGAGTCTGACGGGTGAAACGGAGGGGCAACCGTCTTTAAGAGTTTTTTTTTTTTTTTTTAAATCATCAGCGAAGTGTTAACAGCCATAATAAAATATCCGGCAAGGGGGAGGGAAGGGGCGAAGGAAGGAGGGGCGAAAAGGGAGTGCACTTCAAGTTGTCTTGGAGTGGAGCCGCCAAGGAAGGAGGGGGGACGGTGTAAAAGGGTGGGGGAGCGGGAGCCAGCTGCAGCTGGGACCGCGCTGCACGTGGGCACTGTAGGGTGTTTACCTTCGGCCGAGCTGCGCCCGCCGGGCGGGGGAGGGAGGGACGAAGGGAGTTTGTGCCTGTTGAGCTTGGGTAGCTGAAGGCAAGTGGAGGTGGGCCCAGAGCCTCCGTCACCGACTGGGAAGCGGGTCAGTATAGGTGCGAAAAGCTCTAGCATCACTGGACCCCACACCCGCCCCCTCTTCGCGGTGCAAGCCCTCCCCACCCCCAGAGAATCACTCCTCTACCTTTAGGAGACTGCCGATTGACTAAGAAGCACACGGGGGCACGTCCATTGAAACAGCCTCCACATGGAAAAATCTCTGGCGGTGGAGATTGAAGCTGTGATTTTTGTATCCGTTCCTCCTCCCTGGTGCCTGCTGAGGCGGCCCCCCCCTTTCCCGGGTGGCAGCAGAGATGATCGCAGTCTCCAGGAAGAGAAGCTGGGTGTCCGGGAGGGGGAGAGAGTAAAAGGAAAATAAATTTTCCCCGCGGGTGAAAAGCCACCAGTTTTGAAGGGGGTTTTGGGGGTAGTTATTTTCTCTGCAAGTTCAAGAAGTCCTCAGCCAAGTGCTGACACATAACAACAGCGAGAAGGAGGGGGAGGAAGGGGGAGAAGGGGGAAAAAAAGTTCTGAAGTCGTCCTTAGGAAAAACCACTCGCTGGCTGCCTTCTCCTCCGGGACGGATAAAAGAGGGTGGTTGTGTCTCTCGGACCCTCCTCTAGCTCCTCTGCCGCCCATCGTTTTGGGAACACATTCTGAGAAAAAGGTGCCCAAAGGTGGATCCCTGCGGCGGAGGGTGGGCTGCGATTGCTTGGGTTGTACCTGTAGGGGAGTCCTGGGAGGTTAGTCTGAGTAAGGGTGGCAGCGGCAGCGGCAGCGGCAACAGCGGCGGCAAGGCTGGCGTCTGCAGGAGAGTTTTCTGCTCTCGGTGTGTTTTTTTTCCGCATCACTTGGTGTTACTCCAAACTTGCCTCTCTTACAGCTGTTAAGCAGAAAATAGAAAATCTCCAAAGTCCAGCCCGCCTCTGAAGCATACTTTCAGCAGATGGTTAGCCAGCAGGCAGTCCCAGTCAAACCAGGCTGGTGGTTTTCCTTTTCTTAAAAAATTTTCCCCGTTTGCTTGCACACACGGCAGTCAACAAGTTGTCTTGTCCTTTGTGTTGAGCAGATAGAGATGAATCATGTATCTATGTAGAAAAATAAGTTTTCTTCTTTTCAAATTAAAAACTGGGCGCTTTGCATCCCTAGACGGAGAGATGGGCACTTGGCCGCTTCAGACTGGCGTGTGGTACTGCAGGTCCAAGGCATTAAATTTCGACTTTTCCCCACAGATACTTCTTTCCCCCTCCCCGTTTCTCTTTAGTCCGTTCCTGAATGGCGAAGCAGTTCGGGATGGGTAACAGAAGACACTTTACTCTCGAGTTTCTCTAGAGTGCACACACAATTTTCCAGTCTCCCTCTTCTCGCGCGTGTGTGTGTTGTCTTCTTGCTGTAAATTGATTGAGGCTGTTTGATGCCTCCTTATGCTTTTTGTTTCTTGGCTGCTGCTGATGTCACGACCTCGGGGGCTTGAGACTTCTCTGCCAATCACAGGCGGCCTGTGGGAACTGGGACTCGCCGGAGGGAGTGAGAGCAGGGAGAGGAGAGAACTCCTGCTGTGGCAGGAGCAGCAGCAGCAGAGGCAGCGGCGGCGGCGGCAGCATCGGCGGCGCTGGGGCAGCGCAGTCCCTGCTTTTAAAGGGGACGCCGCCTCCTTTTCCCTCCCAGGCCCTCACAGCAAACCACCCCACAGTCTTTCCCTTTCTCAGTCATTCCAGATCTCAAGATCTGTAAGGTAGAAAAGGAACCAAAAGGTATAGCCCAGAGGAATGGAACCTTTTGATAGGGGTGGGGTCTAGAGAGAGAGGGAGGGAAATGCTAGGATAAGGGGTGGGCTGACGGGCACCAATACTCAATCCTTAAAGGAGAAAAGAAAGTTTATTAAAAATAATGATGATGATAAAAATAATAAGCTTTTAAAAGCTGTAGCTTCCTCAAGGCGATTTCGGAAGTGAATGTGGTAACTCCCTTGTTCCCCACCTGGCCCAGGCCCGTTATTTCCCTTTCAGTTTTTCAGTTTCACAATACAGATGCGTTTGGGAAAACTGAATCAAGTTGCAAAGTACAACTTCCTTGAAGAGTGGAGATTCAGACACAACTGCCTTTCTAGTAGTCACATCTGTCACATCTGTCCCCCGAGCTAAAATATACACACAAGAGCCGATAAGGTCGTGGGCGCTCTTTAAATCTTTTACATTATATACACACACACACATACATATAAACACATTAAATATACATACATATGTGTATATATACACGTTTATATAATGGATATATTATGTGTCTGTGTATTCCAGCTTTCTGTTCCTTTCACTTCCCCTTTGGTAGGAGGGGAGGGAGGGAGAATTAGGTGGGGTGGGGGGGTTGTATTATTAATCTTTATGGCTGCAATCACTGCTTTCTAAAGAAACTTATCTCATGCAGCCCATCGGCACGAGATTAGCTGCTCAGATGACAGTAAAATAATGCACAGCGTGATCCAGGCAAACAAGACGATTCCGGTTTGAGGTTTAGAAGAATCCCCTCCCCCGCCCCGCTTCTCTCGCCCCAATCGGGAAAGATGTGAATGTAGTTTCTTTCTTTCTTTCTTCTCCTCCCTCCCTCCTCCTCCTCCTCCTCCTTCCCCCCCCCCCCCAGCTTGGCCTTCTCCTCTCAAGTCTTTCGTGGCCCGAGGAGCTGCTGTGTCTGGGAGTCTGGTGTTGGACTATTACCATCTCCCAAGATTCCTGGATCTCCCTGGAGAAATGACTTCTTTTCTGTAGGACATGGGCAGCAAGACATGCATAGTTTAGGCATTCACTAAAGTTGTCAGGAAAAAGCTAAAGCTGGGGAAGGCCCAATACGTGAAAACTGTATTCACTTTATAAGCCCCTGCGCCTACAAGCGGAGAGGTAGAGCAAAGTCAGATCAGATAGAGATTTGAACAATGATCTATTATATATGTGTGTATTATTTTTTCGGCAGGGAAGCTAAAATAATTCGAGGTTACCCTTACATAAATCGGATTAGATCCCCACAGAGGGGGAATTAAGCATTTGCTGCTTCCAAAAGGTGTGAAGGTTAAAAAAGGCATTTGGGGAAGGGCTGCTCATTGAGAATACAGAAGAAAGTAAGAATAAATGACACCATGGGTGGGGGACACTACCTAGTATTACTACATTAAAGAACATAAGAAAAATTATTAAATGAATTTAAATGACTTCACTCAAATCATTTTACAATAAACTAGAAAGAAATGGCATGTTCTGTTCTGAGATGTATGAGTCAAGATCCTTTTTTAATTGTAATCTTCCTTTGGAAAATTTAACTAAAGTTAACTATTATTTTATCCCCTCTGTGAATTGTGCTCACATTTCAATCGATACATAGCTTTCAAATAAGAAAAAAAAGGTTATTATTAGTATACCCCCCCAAAAAAAGATGAAAACAAACTTTTTTGATGGAACAAACCATTTTACAGTCTCCATAAGGAAAGCTAGGAAAGTTCATTTTATATCCTGTACAAAAAATTGTGGAATGACCTAATTGTCAATCCCCCAACCAAATTTTCCAGTTGCTCTGTGTATGTTATCGCATATCTATTGCAACTCAATTTCCTTATATTGCTCTGTAAGAATTCTTTTACTGGGTGTGCCAATCCAAGAGCAGTATGGAAATATGAAAGCGAAACGCTTTTGAGTGGCTTTCCTACTATCTTCAGAAAGGAAGCCTTTAACATTAATTCACCATACCTATAACCATGCCTGCCTTTGGAGAATAGGAGCTTACCTGTGATAGAATTCATAATGGCAAACTTTACCTGGCTAAAATAACTTGTTTCTTTTTCTTTTGCCTTAAAATAGAGGAAAAGGAGAAAAGGTAACTAAAATTCCACTGAAGTTATTTACCCTGCTCTTGCTTCAGTTTATAAATAGCCACTAAGAATGTGAAGGTGGAGGGGGAGAGAGCCCTATTTAATACTGCTGTCACAAGGAGTCAACAGATTTCTGAGATACCCTGCAATCTGCCTTAGGAAACACTACAGTATTCTACAATAGTCATCTGTTTTTTAGAGATGGCTGCCCTCCTGTGGTGAAAACATGTCAGGACAATTCTGTAAAAGTAGGAACCATAGATCTCTGAATTTTCTTTTAGTGTCATAGAGACTCTAATTATCTCGTCAACTTTGTGATTTTGTTCAGTAGAAACTATCAAAAGCACTAATCTTCAAGTATAGGGAATATGCCACATTTGTATACCTCCTGCTAGTGCTTTGGGAGATAAAGCAATTTTTTCTGCCTAAAAAATAATTTCTCAATGTTATCTAATGATTAGAAAGGTTGAAAATTATTTAAACTGGTGGAATGAGACAGCTTTCTTACTGAGGTTATTAGGCTTATTTCTCTGCCAGCTCATGCTAGGAGGGCCTACAGAGTCAAGGGCAGTATGAAAGTCCCTTAACTGTCCTAGTTGGGAATGAAAAGCCAAATATGTTACTTCTCCCTTTTGAAGTTCCACGCAAGGGATTCCTTTGCGGGGGAGGGGGGGGCGACTAATCTGGTCAGGAAGAGTGACAGTCACAGCTTTCAGAGAATAAATAATATGAGTTCTTTAAATTTAGAAGAATCAGAGTTTGATTCCTCTGAATTTCACATGGGTGCATAACCCAGAGTAAAATTAAGTGCCCAAAAGAATGCTAATTTGGCAACTTTTCCTTTAGCAATTTAGTTTAGACAAAATTAGACTTTATTGTTTCCTGCAGCTATTAAGGTGTGCAAGCATTGTTACTACAGGCCCTACCAATTATGCAAATTAACACTAAAATAATGACCATAATATGTTTTAAAGGTCACTAGCACTAGACGATCATGCTACCTTGTAATTGTTGTTCCAGTTAAATCTGAGGTAGCTATCAGGAGAAAAGCTTCCTTGTATTTTAGCATAGCTATCACCACATCCCTATCTCATTGTACCAATCAGGATTCTTTCCCAGGCCTAACAGACTATAGTAGAGAATTCCATCTAGTCTGTAGAAAACTATTACCTAAGCTTGAGATGGAGTAGCTAGCTAGACTAGTAGAAATGGGAACAATGATTTTTATGCTAATCCCAGTATACTGTGTCACATCTGAGCTATTATAAGAACCTACAGGATTTTCCTAGGTAGCAAGTGAAACTTCCATCACTGAACTACTCATCCTATCCACCAATATTACATAAGATCATATATAAAACATTATCGTATGTGAATATGGTCCTTTCACTTCCAATCAAAATACTGACAATCTGCTTGATTTTAAGAAATTCACAACCTTACTGTGTTTCATCTGTCAAATGGACATAACAATGACTGAACTATCTACCTCATAGGAATGTTATAAAGATCAAATGAGATCTTGTGAATGTATTCTGAACAACTAAAAGGACAACACAATATAGCATTATTCGTTTTATGCACTTTTTGTGCATTGAAAAATACTGTGTGTTTTTAATGAGGAGAAGCTAGGCAAAGTGGATAGAGTGCTGGATCTGGGTTGAGTACGCTTAGTTTTAAATCTTGGCTCTGATATGAATAAGCTGTGTGGCCCTGAGCAAGTCACCTAACCTGCTGGAGCCTCAGGCAGATCTCTAAGATGAGATGTTTTAGGTGAATTCCCAAGCCAAGAAAATCACAGGTCCTTAACCATATTGATGTGTTTTTATTATCTATGCCTATAATGTTGTGGGATGGCTTTGATTAACATGAAATTACAGGGCTATACAGACTTTGCTTTATATAATACTTATCCTCATTTCATCACCAAAATCATAAGTTTGTTGTGTGCAAAGACTATGTCTTAAACATCCTTAGAATATAATTACCATTCAATGATTACTTATTGAATTAGATTAATATGTATTGCTGATTGGTTTGTATAAATAGTCTAGTTAATAAACATCAATATATGATAATATTTTATAGGTATATGTTCTTTTCACTTGTATTCTGTATTTGTCTTCAATTAATTTAAATTTGAGAAGCCTACTATGTGTAAGGCACTGTGCTAGGTGCTTCGGAAACACATTTTAAAATGAAACCATCCTTGACTTCAATGAACTTGCTTTCTGTTGAGAAAAAATATCATGTATATAGAAAATTAAATGAAAAGTGTATCCAAAGGGATTTTAGGGAGAAGGACACAGCATCTTTTATGAAAGACAGTCTGTTAACCATAGAATAGCAGTTTCAGAGAGCACAATAGTAGGGTAGATTAGAGTATGATAGGGGTCTTGGGGGATGGGACTGACGTGGAAAGTGAATTAGAAGCCTTGGAATGGAACTTCAGCCTAGGAAGTCTATTATATGGAATTTGAGAGGAGCCACATCCTTTATACTTTAGTGATAATATTGACTTGATTATCAATCCCTGAGCCAGAGGTGGAAAGAGGAGATTATTTATATGACCAGTGGACTAAGCACTGGGCCTAAAGCTAGGAAGAACTAAGTTCAAATTTGGTCCCAAACACTTACTAACTGTGTGACCCTGAG